CCGGCAGTGTTTGTCAGTTCACACCAGTCCCACCCATGGTGTGTGTCGGTTCACACCAGTCCCACCCATGGTGTGTGTCAGTTCACACCAGTCCCACAGGTGGTGTGTGTCGGTTCACACCAGTCCCACCCATGGTGTGTGATGGTTCACACCAGTCCCACAGGCGGTGTGTGTCGGTTCACACCAGTCCCACAGGTGGTGTGTGTCGGTTCACACCAGCCCCACCCCTGGTGTGTGACGATTCACACCAGTCAGTGATCTGGGTTCTTGTTTCCTTCTCTGCCGACTCGCTGCACTTTGAGCACATGTCTATTTCCTGAGGGCTTGTGGTTAATTTGGAACCTGAACAATGGACATGAGTAGGTCGAATTATTCCTTCCAATGGGCTTTTCCTTGCAATTGACAACACTGAGTTTCATTTGCCATCGTGTTGCCAGTTCACCCTGATTGGTTGGGTGCCTCTGAATTTCCTGCCCTTCTTCTCAAGTCCAGAGAACGTGGTGTCAGCTGCAGATGTTACCACCTCCCTGCTCACTCCCTTTTCCGGCCTGGGACATTGGGGCACAATGCTGAAAACTGGCTTGGTTCCAGCTCCTCCGAGGCAGCCTTCAGTTCAAGCCTGTGCTTTTGCTGCTAAAGTACCCAGGTTCAATCCTTCTTCCTCTCTCCTGAGGCATGAGGGGATCCCTTCCCTGCTTTGTCCCGATAATGCTGCCTGGCTGCTGTATTCCACATGAGGTTCGCACCTACAGCACTCGCGGGCCTGTCCTCCCCAGTTTGGGAAAGTCGCCATATTATCTTGGAGCCAATTGGTATCCACTGCCTATTTCCCCTTCTGCGTCTGAGTTCCTGTCCCAAGCCCCATGGCTCCATGGTGCAGCTGGGTGTTGGCAGCTCAGAAGAAGAACATCTGGGGTTGGGACTGACGTGCATTGGCAGCACTGTTATGGTGGGACTATAGCAGGGAGTGCTGAGCTCACCATGGCGACAACACCAGCAAAGACGCTGGGGCTGGGAGCCGGACCTGGCACAGGCTAAGTTTCAGGTCAGGATTGAGCTGCGTTGGCAAAAGCTGTGTGGGACCCCAGGCCTGCAATAGCAGGGGGCCTCCAGGCTGGGCGTGAGGGGCACTGGCAGAGCAGAGGGTTGAGGGGATGCCAGCTGGGACCAGGAGCACTGGTAGAGCTAAGCTTGCCCAGGAGCTGCCCACACTAGCTTCTTGCAGATACAACCAACTGCTCATTTTCTGAGCGCTGAACGCAGCCTCCCCTGGCCCCCGGTGCGGCGCAGGGAGATTGAGCCGACCAGCGAGAAGGCAGTGCTTGCTTTAGCTTTATTTCTCGACTCAGGCTGCTGCTGCTATTAGCGTATGAATTCAGTAGCGACACGCAATGCAGACACTCCAGCGGGAGATTGCTCACGAACGTATCAGCGCAGAGCGAGGGGTCTATGCAAACGACACACAACACACCTGCTCCCTGGCGCGCCCCAGGCCACCTCCTACCTGGGCCCCCCCCCAGGCTTTCCAGGGCAGCCAATTCCTGCAGCTCTGGGGACTCTGTCTCTGGTTTGACCCTGCCCCTCCCTGCGGCTGGATGAGGGCCTGCGCTCTCTGAGGCCAAAGGTCGTGGAGCAAGATATCCATAAGTGACGAGTGAGTTGGGGGCAGGGCTCCATTTTGGGGGCCCATCTGGAGACACCTTTAAGGGTTCTGGTTTTAAGAAATGCTGGGCACCCACCTCTGAAAGTCACCCCAGAACCTGAGCCACCCAGAATCTCTGATCCCTTCTGAACAGGTTGGCACCTGGCTGGGAGAGTCACGCCAGGGCCCAGCACGGCTGCTGCAGGTGCCTTGCAAGGCCACGTCAGCGCCACCATCCCCTCAACGCTTCGGGAAGCTCTTGTGGAGACTCTACCAGGAGAGTGTTGTCTAGTGGTTAGGGCACAGGCGTGGGAGCTAAGATAGCCAGGGGCTGTGCTGGCTCTGCCACTGCCTTGCTGGGTGAGCTCGGGCACGTCACAACTCTCTGCCTCAGCCGGCCCAGCTGCACGTAAGGGATAATAATACGCCCCTGCCTCCAGGGGAGCTGCACGGCCGCATGGCGATAACCTGCACTCGGAGCCTGCGAGCAGAGTTCCTAGCGGAGGGGCAGATGAATGGCACTAACTGCTCCTGGAAGCAGCCATTAGATCTTTGTTCCTAAACCAACCATGCACGAGGGAAATGGGGTGGAGGCTCCTAGCACCGGGATGCAGCTAGATACGGGCTAGATATGGGTCAGGCGCGGGCAGGCCCAGTCCAGCAGGCTGAGCACTGGGGAGGTCATTCTGAGTTACGGCCGTCCTGCCCTGCGGGGTGGCTGGCTCACATTGGCTTGGCTGGAAACCATGGAGGCCTGCGGGTTTGCCTTTCCACCCCACGCACGGGTGCGCTCGCACTCACAGGATTCGCTGCCCGGGTGTGATGGCTGGCAGGGTCTTTGCCAGGCAGTCCCAGCTGACCGGGCTCCTAGGGGACACAGAATCTGTAAACTCTGGGCCTGCTGCCGCCCTCCCTCTCCCGCTGCCCATCCCTGCATGAGGCTGCAGGGCGGCAGACAGCATGGGCAGTGTTGGCACGTAGATCACTGGCAGAGCATGGCCCATGGGGGGCTGCAGCGCAGCTGGGGTTGGAGTGACAATGGAGCCCCCTTCCTCCCCAACGCAGCTGTGGTCGCTAGGAGCATCTCCTGCCCCTGAACACACAACGGGGCCCCTGGACAGGCCGGCCCCATCCGGCTCCTCTCTTGCCCTTCAGTCCCTTTCTCTCCACCCGCTCCATTTTCACTTGCATTAGAAACATCCAACTGGGGGAAGAAGCACTGGCTGGCTGAGATCAGCCACCTTGCTGGCTCTACACCCATAGTCACATCCCTGCACTGTATTCACCCCGGCTGCAATGCAGCCACCTCTGGGGCAGAAGGTGGCAGCTGTTCACCGGCACACACCACGGTCCAACAGTTCAGGACACACAGAGAACAATCCGTAGAGAGGATTCGGCATAGAGCCTGATTCTGCCACCCTCCCGAGCCAGAGCAATACCTCCCTGAGCCAGGCACCCTCTGCTGGCACTGGCCCTGCCCCACAGAGTGAGCGTGTCAGAGCAACCCCGTAGGAAACCGGGAGACAAGGGCACTTGGTAACAACCCCTTCGCGCTGGGAGGGTGCAAGGACCCTCCTGGGCTTTAACGCAGGCCGCCAGCCCCTCCTACCATAGGGCCTGCTCTGTGATGGCTCCCGGCCCCTCCCAAACGCCCGCGAGCTCTCCTCAGCCTGTCTGGGAGGGAGGAAAATGGGGGAGCTAACGGTCTGCTCTGCTCCCAGGGGAGCCAATGACAGGGAGCGCCTGACCCAGTCCCGAGCCCCTGACCTGGCTGGAGTTGGCCCAGGCTGTAGCCAAGAAGGGCACAGAGCTCAGCTCACCAGCCCCCTGGCTCTGCCGTGCCGCTCGGAGGGGCCGTGACAGTGAGAGCTGGACGCTGCTATCGCCAAGCAGGGCAAACCCTGTGCATCGCTGCTCGGCAGGGCCCCGCCGCTCACGCCCCTCGCAGCTGGCCAGCCCGGGGTCTGGGAACAGGCCAGGATTAAACCACGAGGCTGCCAGGAGGCTGCGGCCTGCACCTCTCCCGCCATCATTGGTCTGATTTCCTCTGTGCAGTCTGAGCAGGCTTCATGGCCTCCTGACAGCAGCAGGAAGCTGTTTCCCTGCGAGGCTCTGTCCCTCCCGTCCCCCCAGCTCCTCTGGCTACATCTGCCTGGTGCTCCGTCAGCAGGAATCAGTTCCTAGCCCTCAGCACAAAGGGGGGAGACATCAGCCAGCCCCGCCCCGCCTGTGTTCAGGGGCTCCTGCCTCCGGTTCCAATCAGCTGCTCTCCGCGTTAGCCCAGCCGCAGCTCCTGGGCGGGCCAGGGCGTGTGGTGCAGCACAGCTGCCAAGTGCCTTTGTCTCCCCGTGCCCGCCGCCGGTGCGTTGGGGAGCAGGCCCCACTGCAGGGGCCAGGGAACAGAAACCCTGCTCCTTTGGGCCCAAGCCCATCTCCCTCCCTGGAAGCCTTTCAGCCTGATCTCCAGGAGGCCGGTGGGGGGCAGTGCTGAAGGAGAGCTGCTCTCCACAGCATCCCCCGCTCTTGCAACTTCACAGGGGTCTCCCTGGGCCAGACCATGGGCACTGTCAACATTAACCCTGGGCAGACTCGCACTCAGGGCCTCTCCTGCCTCTCCTGGAGATGCCTGGGCCTGAGCCGGGATCAGGGCCTCCGCCATCCTAGGGGCTTTGAGATCTGGGGCAGGTGGCGGGGTGCAGCCAAATCCCGCCCCTTGGCTCCAGGAGGCAGTGGAAACTCTGCAGCCCCCGGGCCATGGATTTGGCCCTTTCTGTGGGCATGAGCTGGGCCTTCGATTGCTTTGCCTTCCCCGCCTGCCCTCCCCGCGCAGCCTCCTGCAGAGCCCCCCAAGGGAGCCGGTGGTAGGGGGTTTCTGGGTGGGCCTGGCACAGCCCTATCTCTAGGGGAGCTCTGGCAGCCTCAGCAGGGCCTCAAACCCCGCCAGGCTCTGGAGCAGCTGAGCAGGCCGCCCCCACAGACTGCAGCGGCCCAAGGCAGACGGGAGAATGGGCAGGGGCAGCGGGAGGGAGAGACGGGGCTCGGCCGAAGCGCTAGCCTGCGGCCTGCACCGGAACGGTGCGCAGCAGCTCTAAGGGGCGCTGGTTACTCTAGCTCCTCAGTTAGTCTTATTAACTCCGCTCCCCGGCAAGCGAAACACGTTCCCTCCGTGTGGGTCCCTCGCAGCCGCTGGGCCCTCCTGGTTCCACGTCGGAGGGGCTGAGTGTCAGGCGGGATCTACGCTGCTAGTGATCTACAGCTACGTGCTTTCCTCTGCCGACCCCTTAGTCCTTGTGCTCCTGGGTGGATTCCTTGATCACCTGTGGGCAGACAGAGGGCGAATGTTACCATCACGGCCAGTCACTGCCCCCTCCACTGGCGGGATTTCCTTGGCTCAGAGCCAGCCGAGGGGCCCCCCACTCTCCTGTCGGGGATTTGCCCCTGTGGGGAGCCCAGGCTGGCCCGTGGGTGGGGTGGTGGGTTAGCACCTTGGGGCTCCCTGAACCCGGGCCCCCACTGCCATGGCACCCTGGGTTCTTTTCCCCGCATGGTCCCTGGACGCTGGCATGCCAGTCCGGATAACGCTAGTGACCCCCCGGCAGGGCTCAGTCCGCCCAGGTTAGCAAAGTGCTTGGCTGGAGACCCTGGGATGCCAGAGGCCCAGAAAGGGTGTTACCGCTCCTGATCCAGTGTGCTCCTATTGACCAGCCCGGCTGCTCCCCGCCCCAGCGCTCCTGCGGGCTGGCACAGCTTGCTGGGACTCGCAGCTCCTCAGTGTGCCAAGGCAGCATGTGGGCCGCTCATACCCTGAGGCTGGGTCACTAACATGCCAGCTTTGTCCCTCCGTGCCCGGTGTCAGGAAGGGTCATGGCCCAGCCTGGGGCCTCCGAGAGCCAACATGCAAAGTCAGGGAGGTCAGTGGGGAAAGCCACATGGTGCCAGCTGGAGCCAGTGAGCACAACCCAGGAGCAGCTGAGGGGACTGCAGCTAAAGAGCCTTCCCGGGAGGGCAGTCACCAAAGCTCCTGGCAGGCGCATGGCAGGGAACCTCCCCCCCTTCGCGGGCCGGCAGAGGGAGAGATGGATGGATGGCTGCGCAAGCTCTGTCTGTGCACCTGCAGGTCGACTGGCCAGGCCAGAGCTCCACATGCCTGGCTCCCAGTCCCCTCCCGGATCCATTCCCAGAGCTGTGTCAAGGGAAGCTCAAAGTGGTGCATTCTTTGCTCTGCGGAGGCACAGCAGTTTTTATGTGTGACCTGATCAAAATGTCTCCTGCAGGGCTTCCCCTGGGGCGATCTAAAACTCTCCTGCCCTCTATCCTACCCCCTCCACCCCCTTACCGCGTTGCCTGGAGCACTGGTGGCGCTACAGCCGTGCCGCCTGGCTGGAGCCGGGCCATGCCACCGCTGCCACCACCACCACGCAGCACAGAGACCGGGTCAGGCCTTTGGGACTGGGAATAGCCTGAATATTGCTGTGATTTTTACTGTAACGTGACCATCTATCACATTGTCCAGCTTGCCTGGCTGGCAAGATAGACTGGAATGCCCAAGGGGACTGTCTGTGAGTCCACGGTCAGACTGTTACAGTGCTTTAGGAGGTCACTCTCATTACTGGGTTGGTGAAATCTAATTATAGAACATACAGTACCACCCGTTTGGGGTCTCTGCACTGCTCTCTGACAGTCTGCCCTGAGGCTGGCACTCATGGTTGTGAGCCGCTCCAGGCAGTGGGCAAGTAAAGGTAGCAGGCAGTGTGGTGTGTTATGAATTGTTGTAATGAGCCATAAAGTGTCCCTGTTCAGTCCATGTTTTTTGGTGTCTAGCAGAGCTATGAATTTAAGTTCCCAGGTTCATTAGTTTGTAACACCACACTGCCTGCTACCCTTAATTACCCACTTCAACCCCTTTATGCATAATAATCTAACCTAGAACTGCCTGCTTCATTTCAAGCCACCGCCTCCAACATGCCTTAATGCTTCTGCTTAACAAGTTCTCCCCATTTGTGTTTAGCTGGGATCTCAAAGTACCTTTCCCAGACCTGAAGAAGAGCTCTGTGTGGCTCGAAAGCTTGTCTCTCTCCCCAACAGAAGTTGGACCAATAAAATATATTCCCTCCCCCACCTTGTCTTTCTCATATCCTGGGACTGACCTGGCTACACCAGCCCTACAAACAGTCTAAGGACATAGGACAGAGGAAGGGTGGGAGAAGGGAAGGATCATTCACCCCAAGTTACAGATGGGGAACAGGCCCAGATTCATTAAAAGCCTTGCCCAGCATCACACAGTCTGGGGCGGAGGTGGGACTTGAGCCAAGATCTCCAGAGTCCCATGCGGTGCTGTAACCACAGTGGAACTGGTTGGAAATCAGAATTTCTATTTAGCTGCAAATTCTGATTTTCAGAGAATAATTAATTCAGAGTCAGAACAAAGAGCCATTTCCTGTGCCGCACAAACTCCAAAACACAGGGCATTTTGGGACCATCAAATCATTGCATTCTGATCATGTTAAAATTGTGGCCCTTTGATAAGGTAAAAACATGTTCTTACTCCGTAGTTCTGATTCATTTTGTTTAGACTTTGATATCACATTAAATATTAAATACAATACAATAGTGACTAGTAAACATAATATACCATTAAAGCAATGTTTTAACATAACACAAAAGTCCAAGTGAAATGCCTTGAAACACGTCAGAATGTAATGGCTTTAGTATTATCAAAATGAAACATTATCGATCTGGTCGAAATGAAACGAGAAAATCGAAACATTCATTTCAACTTTCTTCTGTCAAAAATGGCACCAGAATTGACACCGAGGCCTTGTCTACGCTACAAAGTTTTGTTGGCAAAAGTTCTGCCGCTTTAATTAAAACCACTGTTGCATCTCACACTAGCTCCTTGTGTCAGCAGAGCGCATCCACACTAGCAGCTCTTGCATCGACACAGAGAGCAGTGCACTGTGGTAGCTATCCCACGATGCAACTGGCCGCAGGGTGCTTTGGGAAGGGTTTGCAATGCCTCCTGGGGCAGGTACAGCGTCACATGATGCAGGTTTCTCAATCCCATCGGATTGTCAGCCGCGTTTAAACTGAAGTGTGTGGGGGGAGGGAGAGGAGAGTGGTGGGCCTGGGGTGGGGAGACAGCAGGCTGACCGACCTATCCTGAGACGGGGGGAGGGGGACACCAGGACCGCCCAGAGGATTCAGGGGGCCCGGGGTCTTCGGCGGCGGGGGTCCTTCTGCTCCGGGTCTTCGGGGCACTTCAGCGGCGAGTCCCGGAGCGGAAGGAGCCCCCACCGCCGAATTGCTGCTGAAGACCCGGAGCAGAAGGAGCTCCGGATCTTCAGCAGCGGGTCCTTCACTCAACCTGCCGCCGAAGACCCGCTGAAAACTCTCGTGGGGGCCCCTGCAGGGCCCGGGGCCTGGGGCAAATTGCCCCACTCCCCCCCCCCCCCCGGGCGGCCCTGGGGGACACCCTGAGCAGCTCTGTGAGCTCTCCCTGATGAGGAATGTCAAAGAATGTCAAAGCAGCAGGCAGACCCCTGCCCCCTGCCCAGCCCGCACTCCCCTGCCCCGCTCCCCGTAGCAGCAGCCTGTCTGCCCCGGTGCTCCCAGGGCAGGGCAGAGCAGGAGCATTCCCCAAAGGGAGCAGCGCGCTCAGCTGTCGCATACTTCCTGGGAGCTGTGCAAGGGGAGGGGCGCCTGCCTGCAGGCAGCAGAGCTCAAACCAGTGAGCAGAGCGGTCACGGCGGGCCTTGTGAGACACTGGCGGAACAAACCAAACCGCAGTGTCTACACTGACGCTTTATGCCTCTCGCTGAGGTGGTTTTATTTTGTTGGCAAAACAGCGGAGTTTTGCCGCCAAAAGTCGCTCGGTAGCGTGTACACCTCCCCTGTAGTGTCGACAAGGCCTGATTTCGATGACCCCGCATTGACCAACAGAACCTGTTCCATTGAATGGTCTTGCCTAGCTCTCCCGCACAGCAGGACAGGTCTGTCTCATCTTACGCGGGGGTGCCGTTCCGCGGCTAGCGCGTCAAGCGAAAACCGCGTCGAGCCAAAATTCCATTGAGTTCAATGGCGGGCGAAATCGCCTGTACTACAGGTATAGTATTAAAATGGTTATTTTTCTCTTTTGTTGTTGTTTTTTTTGCTTTTGCCGACCGCGTAAAGTTGAAATCGCGCATGTTAAATGCGCGTAAGATGCGACAGACCTGTACTTCCTTCCCCAGTGCCTGGCCTGCCTTACGCCCCAGCCTCGCTGGGCACCTCACCAAACACACTAGGGGGGTTGCTGACTCGGCAGGCAGTCGACTAGTGGTGAGATCCACCAACAGAACAACCCCCCTGCTTCTCCCCAGGAGAACGCTGCCCCCACTAGGCCATTACAGCTGTACAGCTCAGCAAGCGAGGCACAGGCCCATCACCCCCCAGGACCAGGCCCATTCAAGGCCCATTACTTGGAAGCCCCAGACAACAGGGAACTGCATCATGGCAAGGTCAGGTGGTCTCCAGCAGGCAGGGGTGGGGATGGATGACGGGGCAAGGGCAGGGGAGACCCTCTCCTACCTCTGCATCTCCGCTCTCCACAGTTTTGACCACGATGTTCCTCTTCAAGTGAGCCTCAGACACTGACTTGGTATCCAGGCTGGTCTCTGGGGGGAAGAGCAAACGTGGTCGTTGTCTCCACCCTGAGAAAGCCCAGCCAAGCAGAACAAGGCAGAGCAAAGCACCTAGGAACACACAGGCTGCCAGGTCGGGCTAGCTCTGGGCCTGAGCTGAGATTCCCTGCACATGGCACAGGAGCCATGAAACGTGTCCTGCCGACGGCTAACAGCCCTTCCACACTCACAGGGCTCCGAGCTCTGTGCTCCCCTCCCCTGACTCACACCGGGAGGGGAGTGGCCCACAGCAAGTGGCCCCACAAGCCCACACAGCACAGGTGCTGGAACTAGGGGTGCTGGGGGCTTGACGTGGTTTCCATCATAGGCAGGGTTTAGTTTGGTTCAATGGCTCTCAACACCCCCCACTGTACACATTGTCCCAGCACCTCTGGTACCCTGTGGACTCCCTGGGGCTGTCCCCTGGCATGCGCCTGGCTGGGCTGCCCCTGACGTGATACCGTTTGTTCGGACGGGGCTGTGGAGTTCGTGGGCTGGGTACTGCGATGGCACCGCACCCTAGCCCCCTGTCTGTGGGGGCTGCCCCGTGGTGGGAGAGTCACCATGGGTCTGGCCTGCCTGAATTCCTGCATGGCCCGGGGCGAGGCACAGCTGCTCCAAATCTCCACCTCCTCCTGCCCCAACATGCCCCGAAGCTCTGGGTTCCCTGGGGCTCCCACATTGCAGGGTCCCCCTGCACCGCAGAGCAGGCTGCAGTCAGAGAGAAGTGGCTTCAGGGACACTCTCATGGCTCCTGTACCTGTTACAGGGTCCCCATGTCACCAGGCTGGGTCCCAAAGGAGGCCACGGCGCAGGCTTCCCTTCACCTGTACCTCCTGGAGTCTGGCCTGGCTGGAGACAGGGAGCATCTACATGCTGGATGGTCTGGCCCAGATCAGACCAGTGGGGCCCCCAAGCCCAGGACCCCACCTCCCACTGGCGCCAGTGACAATACTCAGCCTTTATGCCCCCAGGCTCTGGCGGGTGGCATGGTTATCCCTGTGTGGCACAGAGTGGGGAAGGGTCGCCCAAGGTCACGTAGCAGGTTAGTGACAGGAGCAGGGCCAGCTCTCCTGGCTTCCTGTCCATTGAGCCCTGATGCGTCAGAGGAAGATGGGGGAAACCCCACAATGCAGCTGGCCAATTGCACAACTCTGTGCATTGAGGAGAAGTTCCCCACAGTGATCAGCTTAGGCCCTGAAGCATGAGATCGGATGGCCCCCATCTTAGCGCCTCTAGCTGAAAGTGGCCATCACATTACCCAGCCCTTCCTCCAGTCCTGGCCCAGAGTCAGAGCCTGTGCGTGGGGGAGGCAGCGCCATGGCAAAGTGATTCCACACCCGGACGTGAAGGCGCGACGTAGCCACGACCACCCATCCCATCCCTCCTCCCTTGGGGTGCGCAGCATCCTGACCTCGGATCTGCAGGTTGGAGAAGGTCTGCACGGGGATGGTGATCCTGCAGAAACAAGGCAAACGGAGAGGCACAGGTGTGAGATGGGCCACACAAGAGGCACTTCCCAGGCAAGGCTGCCTCTGACTCACTGAGAGAGGGGAGGCCTTTGCGGGGAGACCCACGTGACAGGCCCAGCTCGCCAGACAGCTCGAGAACAGCCAGGTGACAGTAGGTTACCAACCCTCCAGGAGTGTCCAGGAATTAAAGATTAATCTTTAATTAAATATTATGTCATGTGATGAACCCTCCAGGAATCCATCCAACCAAAATCGGCAGCCCTAGGTGACCAGAGGCCCATTCCCACCACGTACCCAACCCAGCCATATACCCTCAGCGTCTGGCTGTCTAGACGCTTCTGCTTGCACTGATGGTCTTGAGGTCAATGGGGTTGCAGGGGGACAATTGAAAGTCATTCGCTTCCAAGAGCATATGGGAGAGATGGGCCCACGCTGCCAGGCTGGGATCCGGGCTAGCTTTCCTCCAAAGGTTAGGAGAGTTTGGATCCAGGGTTTGGTTCAGGCCCTTCTCTAAGTGACAGAGCATGAGACCCCGGCCACTCAATCCAGCAGTGGCCTGGAGCTAAGAGAAGGGGTGCTGGGTTGGCAGCCCTGGGCACTGGTGTCCTCTGGGTATCCACGGAACAGGTTCCTCAGAGTCCCCCTGAAAGAATGAATTCGCCTTCCTCATCCTGCCATTGTCCTCACCCTGGAGGGACCCCTTGGATGGGGGAGGTGAGGCCTGGGAATAGCCTCTAACGCACCTGGAGATGGTTATTAGCACAGCAAGAGAGGCAGTGGCCCCCCAGGGGCGCATCCCTCCATCCATCTGCAGGAGGCTCACCTGCTTTCCTCTCCCTCCAGGAGCTTGCGGTAGGTGGCAATCTCAATGTCCAAGGCCAGCTTGACGTTGAGCAGGTCCTGGTATTCCTGGAGGTGCCGAGCCATCTCCTCCTTGAGGTTCTGGATGTCCTCCTCCAGCCGGATGACTGTGTCCTGGCAACTGGCTGTCTCAATGGCATAGCGGTCCTCCAACTCCCGCAGCTGCCTCTCCAGGGATTCATTCTGAGAGGGGCGGGGATGAAGGGCTGTTACTAATCTGGATTCTCCCAGCCTTCAGCTGTTCGCCCCCAGGGATCATGTCATAGTTGGTGACATGGTGCCAGCAGACCAGGATCATGTGATCCTAACAGGGATCATCAAGCTCCAGGGCTGCTACGGAGAGGCCAGTGTGGGCCGCCCCACTGGAGCACGTAGTCCAGTCCCCCACCTCCTGCCTGCACCAGACCAGACACTCATTTGCTTCAGCTGCTACTCTTCCTCCTTGCCCGATGGGAGCAGACCCCATCCCCAGCCCAGTGTCCTGCCTCTGCCCGACGGGAGCAGACCCCATCCCCAGCCCAGTGTCCTGCCTCTGCCCTACGGGAGCAGACCCCATCCCCAGCCCAGTGTCCTGCCTCTGCCCGACGGGAGCAGACCCCATCCCCAGCCCAGTGTCCTGCCTCTGCTCTACGGGAGCAGACCCCATCCCCAGCCCAGTGTCCTGCCTCTGCCCGACGGGAGCAGACTCTTGGCCCATCTTGTTTGGCCACCTTCCTCTTCGCACATTACAGGCGCACAAGGGAGCCCAGCATTGTTTGATGTCTGTCAAGTCCTTATTTCCAAGCTTGGCATGTTTGATTCTGAGCCGAGGTTTATTTGAGGAGGTTAATTGGAGACGAAGGGAATTTGGAGCCCAAAACAGGGCTCAGTGACGGGGGTGATGTTCATTGGGAGGCCTGTGCTAACGGAGGGCACCCAAGGGCCCAGGCACTATCTCACTGCTGCCTGCCCCTGCCCCCAGCACCCACACCTACCATTCCCCGCAGGGACTCCAGGTCGCAGGTGAGTGCCTGGAGCTGGCGCCGGTACTCATTGGCTTCTTGCTTGGCCAGGCGCAGGGCTTCAATGTTCCGAGCTGCCGCGTCCGTCAGGTCTGCAAACTGAGGAAGAGGAGTTAGTGCGCCTGGCTCGGAGAGCTCGGGACGTCCTCCCCGGGGAGAGCGCTCAGCGGGGGCTTGGTGCCCACGGGAACAGGAAACTGGGAGAGAACAGGGTACGATGACGATGGTGATACCAGCTGATTGAACAAAGTATTCCAGTGGCTGGGAGCAGGGGCTTGGTAGCCGGGACACCTGGGTTCATGAAGCCAGGGGACTCGCTGCAGGGGAATGTCTCATGAACCAGCCCTTCCAACCTGTCTGGTAACTCCCCTGGGTGGCATATGGCACATGGGGCATCACGCAGGGGACAGCCACAATCAGTGCCAGTCAGACCAGCAGTGGCTGGGGTAAGAGACAGGCACGGCATGTGCAACCCACGGTGTGCGTCACTGTCTCAGGCCCCGTTACCTTGGACTTGTACCACTCCTCGGTCTCGTGCATGTTGTTGGAGGCCATGGACTCGTACTGAATGCGGATCTCCCGCAGCGCCGCCGTCAGGTCCGGTTTTGACATGTCCATCTCAATGTGGACCTGCTGCTGCACCAGCTGCTCCTGCAGCTCTCTCAGCTCCTGCCAAGATACAAGTGAGGCGGGTCGGCGGCTGTGCCATGCCGGTGCCGCTGGGAGACAGGCAGCGGAGCCTCACGCTGGGCGCGGGACTGAACCTGCCACGGTGGCCAGTGCGGATCGCGGCATGGAGGGGACAGTTACCGGCACCGCACTAGATCCCGGTCTGACCGTGTGGGAAATCAGGCCAGCCACATCCCTTCTGCAGTGCCCACTGCTGGTCACTCTGCGGTATGACATGCCATTGCTGTGGCTGCTGCAGAAGACCTCCACCCATCCGTCCTTCTCTGGGTCTCTGCACAAGCTGGCGGAAGTTCCCCGTCCGTGCCTGGGTTTACGGGAAGGAACTCCCATAACTCACACACCCAAAGGCTGACAGAAAGGGGTGGAGCTGACAGGACAGCAGAAGAAGGTGCAGGCCCTTCTCATGTGACTGTGGGGTGTATATGACACCGGCTAAGATCCCCTGACACCCCCTCGCAGATGCAGAATTTACGTATCACCCTTTGAGTTTGGGCCAAAGATTTCTCCCTCCTTCTCCCTCCTGGCTGGCAGGAATAACAGGCCAGGCGATGGGAACCCAGCACGCAGGTGCACCATGGAACCCCAGGGAGGGCCTGGGGGAGAGGAGAAACCCCTCAAAGGAGAATGACGAGCCAGTCCCACGGTAAGGTCCCTGCCTCTCTGGATAGCTGGGCCCAGGCTGCAGTGCATGGCAAGGCAAGGACAGACCATCCCCACCCAGGCACCCTAGGGGCTCGGAGGGTGGGTCACACACGATACCTCCTCATGGACTTTCCTCAGGAAGTTGATCTCCTCCTGCAGGGACTCGAGTTTCCGCTCCAGGTCCAGGCGCACTAATGCAGCATTGTCAACATCCTGCCATGTGGGCGAGAGCAGGGAAGGCGAAGTCACAGCTCCTGCCAGGAGCACATGCAGTTCCGAGCGCGCTGGTCTGGGGACCCGGCCTGACTCCAGGGCCAGCCATGCTTTTGTGCACAATGGGTTAGGGGCTGAGCAACTGGTGTGGGCTCCGGTACCTGGGCCAACCAAGGGCTCAGCCTGCTTCCTGGGGCCTGGTCACCAGCTTAGTCGTGGAGAAGAGTTAGCTCTTACTCCACCTGTTTGCGTCTTCCCTGCTATAAAACGTCTGGTAACATCACCCCTTGCACCCAGGTTCACTGGCCTGAGACTCTCAGTCATCCCCCCCTCCCAACTCCCAGTTACAGCCACCTTCTCTGGAGGTCCATCAACAGAGAGCTGGTGCTTTGCCCCTGCAGCGCTCCCACTGGAACAATACCCCGGCTGCCTACACTGCGCAGCCCGAGGCAAGGCTAGAACCCAGGGCCGTCAGGCCCAAAGGGGCCTGAGAGGGGTAGGGGTAGGACTGTCCCTCACACCCAGGCAGGCTGCAGACACAGCCATACGCATGGAGCAGGATGCAGAGTCTTTCTAGCAGGCAGCAGGGTGACACAGGGCCTAAACTTCAACCCCCGCCTCCAAACGGCAGCACATCACACCACACTGTGAATGTGTGTGTGTCTGTGTGTCCCTGAGGGATCAAGAGTGAGGGGGATCAGGGTGAGTGTGATACCTTGTGTCCGTGGGAGGGGGATCGGGGTGAGCGTGAGACGGTGTGTCCGTGTGAGGGGGATCGGGGTGAGCATGAGATGGTGTGTCCATGTGAGGGGGATCGGGGTGAGCGTGAGACGTGGTGTCC